ATCGGTCAATACTTTTTACTTGGTATGCTAACATATCTATGCTAGTGAACTTCACGGCCGTGACACTTCGAAAGGGGAACCCGTCAAGCCTCCAATCTTACTACCGCTGGAAGTGATGGTACATCCACTGGAGCTTCGCTTCAAATACCACTTCAGCGGGGACAGGCCAACAAACCGGCTTGACAAGGTAAGGATTGTCACCTGATAGTTGTAGGGATAGATACCGTTCTAACTGAGTTTCCAGCCGGAATATTTCCTTGCTCATCTGACGGACCTCCTTAACAACTTTGGCGGGTTTTTTGCTTCGTCTTTGCAGCCTATCTTCGACGAAAAGGCACAGGCTGTCGGATCTGATCTGGAGTGGAATTTTTACAACGCCTCACATGCCTATATTACGGCTCTTTTGCCAATTCTGAGACATAAGATAGCCTCATATTTGCCTCAAATCTCAAGCCACCCGCAGTTGCTGAGTCACTTCGTCCACGAGTTGATGAATTTCGACAACGAAATCCGTGAATCGTGGAATTACCTACCAGATCCTTATACTGATGATAATTGGAAGGGCATGACGTGGGAGGTGCTAACCGAACAAGGGTGGTTTGAGCTTTGGCTTCAGGTTGAGAAAGATTTTGCCTTGGCACGGTATAAGGAAATTGTAGATGCGCCGGATAGTGGTCATATCGATTATGACGGTGTCGATCGTTCTGCGACAAAGCCTACTAAAGCTGCAATCCGTGTCAACGATCTTCTCGAGACAATAACAGAGCGTTACCAGCCTCTGTCGTCATTCAGCCAGAAGTTACGCTTTCTCATTGACATCCAGATCACGATATTTGACCAATTCCATGAACGGCTGCATTCAGCGCTGGAAGCCTACCTTGCAATGACGTCGACGATTGGCCGCACAGTGCAGGGTGCTGATGGAACTAGTGTGGAGGGTGTTGCAGGGCTAGAACGGCTCTCCAGAGTTTTCGGAAGCGCCGAATATCTTGAGAAGAAAATGGAAGACTGGAGTAACGAAGTGTTCTTCGTAGAGCTTTGGTCTGAACTTCAAGAACGAGTCCGACAGAACAAGGATGGCGGCAAGAACGTGGCTGGCTCGATGTCTGTTGCGGACGTTGCCTCGCGGACGTCTCAAGCTGTGACGAATGGTAACGATCATGGAGAGGCCTCTGAGGGAGCCTTGTTCGATGAGACAGCATCCGCATATCGCCGCCTGAGGCTCCGCTCAGAATCCATCATTACATCAACTTTGACTTCAAACATGCGCACCGCCCTTAAACCCTACTCTCGCGTTTCGACGTGGGCAACTGTTTCTGCTAGTTTGGCTTCTCCTTTGCCTCCTACTTCGGATCTTTCGCCGGCAATGCGTACTCTATCCACCGAGATCTCCTTCCTTTCTCGCACCCTGGGCGTCGCACCCTTGCGCCGTATCGTCCGCCAAGTGCTTCTCTCCATCCAAACCTACATCTGGAATAATATTCTTACGAGGAATATGTTCTCCGCTGCAGGGGCAACGCAGCTAGTAAGCGATGTTGAGCATCTCTGCAATGTCGTTGATGCGGCCCTTGGTTCGGCGGCTCAGGTTGCAGCTCAGCGAACGTGCTTAGGAAACTTAATGAGGGCCTCACCCTTCTCGGACTGAGTATCAGTGGGCCAAAGTCAGCAGAGAATGGGTCTGCATCGCAGGACAGCGATCAGCAGGGAACGTCGCCGCTGGGACTGTGGGACGTAGAGAAGAGGCTGTTCAAGGACAACGAAAGCGCAAGGGTTGTCCTTGGTGAATTGAATATCGAAACTCTCTCCGAAGCGGAGGCGAGAAGTGTTCTGGAGAAGCGAGTCGAAATCAGTAGTTAATTTTAGCGACATTGCATTAGTCAGTCATTGTGAGAACTGATATGCTTCAACTTGGCTTGCATGAGATATGTAGATATGAACGTGTACCTAATAATTTGAGCCCTGCGGCGTTAATCATTCATTGTAGTATTTACTCGAAAATATAAAAAATCTATGAAAGGGATGTTATATATGACTTTTGGGTAGCCCTGCCAACCAAATGCCCAAGATCCTGTTGAAAGAATCCTGTCCGGAGAGCTGTTTTTTTTAGCTCGTTACGTATGATCTAGTTGTTCCAGCATCGGCTTAAGAAAAGGAGAATTCAAGGGTGGTGAACAACTGGACCGTGGCCCCGTTCTCCTGGTCTGTTAAAGTTCTTTGGGGCATTCTGCACCTTCATGTTCTCAATTATACCCGGGCCAACCTCTTCAATTGCCCGCAGAAGCGCCTCGACGGTCTCCCTTGTGGTCTGCACATTAACTACGCAGCGGAAGAACTTCCCATTTCCGACGGCATCCTCATCACCGCTGGGTGGCGCAAAATCAACCATGAAGCCCTTGCTCACGATCGCATGCGTCACCTGCTCGGTGACCTTGCTGTTGGCTTTGCCGCGCTCGGCCTCATCCGAGACGATGCCACGAGGATGGAGGAATTGTCCGCCGGGAGCGTAATAAAAGCAGACCTGGAGGCATGGGGGAGGGTTCTCACTGACGAGGATGAAGTTCGGGTTCTCGGCGACGAGGGTTGCGAGATGCGCCGCAGTGTCGCAGGCAGTGTCAATCTGCTTCTCGTACCCTGCCGTCCCGTAATAAGTCCAGCCGAGGAAGAGCTTGAGGGAATCGGCGCGTCGACCGCACTGGAGCGTCAGATCTGCCAGGTCCCAGACTTCGGGCGAGTCAACGCCGAGTTCGGACTCGATGGTGCCATTACAGCCGTTAGCTTCGGGAAGCTCGGTGTCTTCATTGTGGAACAGATACCCAGCAGGAAGGGTGTTTGCACGATGGAAGCGACGCAGGTCAGCCGCAAGGAGGAACGAACAGGTCACTGGCACGCCGAGCATTTTGTGAGGGTTGATTGCGATACTGTCCGCCTTCTCTGCGCCGGCGAGCTTCTGTCGCTGGCGTTTGGAGAAGGCAAACGAGCCACCCCAGGATCCGTCAACATGGAACCACAAATTGTATTTCTTGCAGATGGCGGCGATTTCGTCGAACGGGTCGAAAGATCCCATAACGGTTGTTCCCGCTGTCGCATTGACGTAGAACGGGGTACGGTTCTCCCTCAGGGCCTTTCGGACTAGGTTCTCCAGCTCCGCTGGAATCATACGTCCTTGCTTATCGATAGGTACAGCCCAAACTGAGCTACTTCCGAGTCCTAGCATCTGCGCTGCCTTCTCAATGCTGTAATGGCCATGGGCGCTTGTGAATAGCACGAAACGGTAATCTCCGTTTCCGTCTCTTTTCGTAGCAGGGAAAAGATTGTTTCGTGCAATGACAATTGATGTCGTGTTCGAGGCAGAACCACCTTGGACCGATATACCTCCCGCTCGTGGGCCATTGAGTCCAAAAAGCGTAGCCAGCTGTTTCCCGGTGAACTTCTCAATGACCGTTAAAGCGGGCGAGACCTGGTAAACGTGGACGTTTGTGTTCAAGGCGGCCAAGATGAGCTCAGAAGCTACACCCGGGGCATTGGTGGATGCATACAGCTTGTCAAGGAAGCCCTGGTGCCAGGTATTGACGGAGTATCGCAAGACCTTCTGCAGTGCCTCGACCAGGCCATCTTGTCCCGCTCCTTGCTCTGGCAATTCCAATTGAAGAATTTTCTGAAGTTCCTCCGGTCTCTTGTGGTCCACTAATGAAGTACTCGATGGTTTGAGGTTGTTATGAGTGCCGTTGGTTCCATTGACGCCATTTTCCAATGCCTTCTGGCCTAAGGGATCTTCATCTGCAGACCGGATGAAGGGAATCAGGAGGTCTTCGACCGCACTTAGAAGCTAAGAGAATATATATTTATTAGCACTGGAAGTAGTTCCTCTCAGAAGCTTGTTGAATTATTTCCAGAACGTAGCAAGCGCATTCTGACTCACACTTCGCACTTCTTCCGCGCGGCGGGACGGGGAGGAATCAGCCATCTATGACTGGTTGTAATTCTAGAATAATATATAGTATGATATAATATAGGAAGGAAGAACCTAGATATAGGGGAAAGGGTATGTACACCAAATTTGGCAATGGTTGAAATATTCAACAAGGGCCGAGGCCATTCATAGAAATTACGATCAAAGGACCCATTCTGTCACCGGCACCGTTGCGGATCCACTGGAGAAATGGATGGCGACAGACTCGGAGACTCTGACATCATGGTTCCAGAGGCCAATGATGGTTCCAATAACAGTCCTTAGATTTGGCTTCCGAGCGAAAAGAGATTTAGAAGCATTTAGGGTCTTCTTTACGATGGTGGGGAAGACGGAATTTCTTATCGTTCCATTTGATTCATGCCCCGCACGTGCTTTAGTTCAACAGAAAGATACGCTGCCTTGCAAATCAGGCAGATGAATGTCTGGTCTAGTATAAGAACGACGATTCTATTCCCATCAATAGACGAAAAACACATTCCTGCTATGTTCTGGGGCCTTCGAAATACGGTGTTTCTTGTATCGATTATGATGTTTGTCGGCAATTGTGCCGATCATTTGCGATATTGAATTCACACTAATGCAACCTGTATAAATTGCGTGCTTTTGATATCCACATAACCAATCCCGTGACCTTTATATACATGCATGACTTTTGTTGCAGAAAGTTCGTTATACCCAAATGAACACGATCGAAACTAGGCAGATACGCCCTTCTGTGCACCTTTTTTCGCATCCTCCTCTGCCTTTGCAGCAAACTTAGCCCGTGCGAGTTCTATCCTAGACTTGGGTCTATCTCCAGAGCCATTGTTGTTATCAAAACCTTTGGCTTTCGCAGCCCATTCGCCCCGTCGTCGCTTGTAGAGATCCATCGCCCAGTTCCTCCAGACAGCACGGCCGACGAAAGAGTCCCGAAGCTCCATTTCATGCTGGGTCAACTCCTGTGCCATTCGCTCCTTGATAAAGAAAATGTCCTTGGTCGCAGGCCAGAGTGCGTCTACCACATGGGATCCGCTGCTATCGAGGGCAAGCTCCTTCAAGTGACTGGTGAAGCGTGGAGCAAACTGTCGACGGAATTGAGTGGTAGATGTCGGAGAAGTAAGGGCTTGTTGTAGGACGCGAGATGCGGTGGGATCCTTGGCGATCTTAACGAGTGATTCCGAAGATTGCGCCAACAGACTTGTATAAACGAGCCCGCTTATCGGACCAGGAGCAGTGAGCATTGTCTGTGCAAGTAGCGAACCATGGAGCTTTTCTCCTGTTGATGATTGACTGGGAGCAACATTGGCCGCCTTCTGCTCTGACTCTTCAGATTCCTCTTGGGCTGTGTTCTCTAGTCGCAGAATTTGTTCCAGTCTCCGAGCAGGGTCTGTATCGTAGGCTTCCTCTAGGGCTCGAGCGAGGGGTGCTGTGTCAACTCCACGGACTAGGCATCGCTCAATAAGCACTTTGGGAACGACCATCCTAGACCGCTCGAGAAGACTAGGAATCTGAGGAACAATCCGCTCCAAGGCTTGTTGGAGATCATCCTTTCCGAGTCTCTCCAGCACTCGAAGCACAACATACCCGGCGGTGATATTGCGGGCAAGGGAAGTTATTTGGTCGCGGAAGAAGTTCTTGTAAAGACCCTTGAATGCCTTTCCGGGCATACAACGCACAATTGTTTCGAGTAACCGAGATCCCACTGGGTCATAGAGTAATCCGCGCACAAACGTTGTGGTCTCAGAGCCCTCCTCAAAGCTCTCATCCGGAATTAGTCGTCTTGTTATAGAATTTGGATCCTTGGCACTCGATTTTCCAAAGTGCGAGAGCTCCAGAGACACTAAGACTTGAAGCACTGGATTTCCAACTGGATGAGTCGCAAGTGCTCTCAAATATGTGTCATCAAGTACGGAGACCATATCCTTCATAATCTTCTTCAAAGTAGCCTCGAACACATCCGGTACGCTTCTTTTTTGCGCAGAGGCATCCCCATCCTGTGTCTCTCCCTGGAGTAGACCCAATTTCTCTTTCTTACGGCTTGCAACAACCGAGTCGTTCGCTGAAACGTCCACAGGCTCTCCCGCAAGCACAAGAAGCAAAACTCTGATTGTATGTGACGCGAACCGTTCTGTCAGTAGGTAACCCCAGTTGCCCTCCAATTCTTCGACCACCTTGATGAACATCTCTGCCAACGACAGTTCAGGCTCGGGCTCCTCTCCTTCATCCTCGTCTATATCCATCTTATCACTTTTCGACTTCGAGACTTTCTGTGTTACACCGGGTGCAGCATTGATAAAGAGGGTCTCGCAGCAATGACTAGCAAAACGATGCTGTACAAGATTCAGGAAGTGGCCGATAAATTTGTTAAAAAGCCTGTGAATTTGGCGCATATCCGACATCGAAATCAGTTTCTCCATGAGCCGTGAGCATCCCTGACTGCATGCGATTTTCAACTCCTTTCCGTCAGCCTCTTTATAGACACTGTCTAGGAATATTCTGCGCTCATCTGCATCCTGGAATTGGTTCAATTCCAACACCTCATTGGCTCGAGAGAAATATTCCTGTTCCTCGGGATCGAGAAGACCATAGAAGGGCATATCACCGGGAGGCGCAGCACTTTGATTCTCATCGTAGTTTACATCATAGTTCTCATTGTAATTCTCGTCGAAAGGTATGTAGTCGGCTCCTTGATTGATTTCGTCCGACTCGTCCGTCGAGGGCTTCATCCGTTTCGGGAGGGAATCTTCGGGGGCTTCTTCGCGCTTCCGTTTCGCGGCATCTTTATCAGCCTTTTCAGCCGCCCGGCGACCTCTTTTTTGGTTCTCGCGAGGCATAGTGTGATCGTTGGGGGATATTAAGTGGTTAGAAGAGAGAAGTTCTTATCCGGGCCTTTTGCGCTGGAAATTTTTGGGATAAGCGGTGGTCCAAGCGCCTTCCGCGCATCAACTAAGCATGTGTTTGTCCTGTTTGCTTGAGTTACTTTTCCCTTTTTGGATAAATGTTTTCGTCGATTTCATAAGGTGATAATGTACAGTAGTCAACTAGTTAATTTGGTAATGAAGGCAGTCATAATACAACCAAGAATGCAAGAAATTGTGAGACAAATTATACAGAAGAGTAGATTGCAGAGATGTGTCTCCCGCACTCCACGCGCTGCTCCATTTTCACTGTGCGGGAGCCAATCTTTCCCTTGTGACGAGGCATGACCTGAAGCCGTGCCTCCTGCTCAGCAAGTTCTCCTTTACCTTCCGGAGGAGCGTTGATATGAGTTGGCTTGGATTGGTTGCTTCTCCTGCCCGTACCAAGTTGGAAATGCTCATTACCTCCCCAAAAGAGCACATCGAACCCAAAGTTGGTGGCATCGTTCAAAGAATTGCTAGGCGATGAATCCATATGAGCATTGTTGTCCAGTACCGCTGATACGTGCGTTGTCCCCACTGATAGATAGCGAAGATGAATAGGTGTCAATTGCTTCTTCCGTTCGTCATACTCAAACAAACCGCTCAAGGACTTGACCTTGGTGGGGGCCTCTTGCATGTGAGTCCATTTTCCATTACCAAGAGCACCCCAAATTCCTCTTCCGCATGTCCAGGTGTCAGCCGTAATGCGGTCCAAATCGCGGATAGCGGAAGGGTTTTCACCAGGACCAACGATTCGTCGTGCATCCACGGTGAAAAAGCTGTTGGCACCACCGGCTGCAATTCCCGTTACCTTGGGGAACCACATATTCCCCTTGTAAAGGTTTTTGATGGGTACAGAGGTAGGTGTGTCACTAAAAGGTAGTGCGGCGTCAAACGCCATGCCCAATTGTCCGAAGGAATTATCGCCAAACGTAAACAAGCTACCATCCTTGCTTAGAGCCAGAGAATGATAGTCTCCGGTAGCGATTTGCGTAATCTTGGTGCCCTTGAATGCCTCAATCTCATGACACATGTCGACTGGCCCTTTAGGTCGGGTTGCCCAAGTCAACCCTGGGATGCCAAGCTGTCCATGAGATGGATAGCTCTCTGTAGAAGAAGCGACAGAGAATACGCGGCCATGGTTCGTCAAGAGAAGGGCATGCTCTAATCCGCCGCGGAGCATAGTGACCTTCTCACCCAGCTTCAGGCTAGGTTGCAGCAACCGGTAACTTACTCCAGATTTTCCAGACCAGAAAGGTACCCAGGAGCTTTCTTTAAGTTTCCGGCCGGACTGTTGATCATCCTTGGCAATTGGAAGAGAGTAAACACTGCCGTCTGCTGATAATGCGAGTATTCGGTCGTTTGACATGCACAGCGAAGTCAAATTCTTTCCTGTCAAAGTCTTTGTGGGCTTGAACTCGGACTCTGAATAGCCCTTACCCCACTGAATGAGGTCACCGTTTTCTGCAATCGCTGCACCAGACTTGTCAGAAAGCTTAAGGTCTCTGAGCACCTGGCCGTCAAAATAACGAATTCTCCGAGGGCTTTTGATAACAGTCTCCTTAGAGTTGGGGTCCACAACACGATAGGAATTTGTTCCCCATACATATACGCCGGGACTTTTTAGGCTTCTTTTGTGTTGAACATACTGCGACTCCAGTTGCTCAGTGGCCTGGGAGAGAGTATGAGCCTTCTTGTCTGCTTGACTTCCGGCCGGATTCTTATCGAGTGTCGCATAGGTGTAGACGAGAAAAGCAGCGGCGCCTGTTCCCGCAAGGCCTAGAGAAGTTTTAAGCCAACGTGAAGAGGATCCAGACTGTTCCGATGCATTAGGGCCATTACTGGCATAGCCTCTTCTCCCGGGAAAGATAGCAGGCCGAGTAGTCCGAGGAAGACGACGTGAGACGGTGACAATATTTGTCACGGGCTGTCGCGCTCGAGATGTCCACATGGTGTTTTGGCGCTTCCCTCAACAAGCGCACATATCTTTTTTGATAGCTACTGTATAAAAGTATGCCTTTGGTCAGGTTTTATCAGAAGCCCTCCAATTGGTTTATTTGTTGCGTCAAGTAGCGGAAGCGGAATGCGGCGGCAGAATAGCGCCTCGAAGCGGCCACGGAGATCACAGCGACCAATTGGTTCCTCTTTGCCTAGTTCCCATATGAGTTTAAATATGGAAGTGTGTGCTCCCCTATAGAGGTATAGGCGCGATCCTGTATTTATCCCTTTACCCTTCACTTTGGACCTCACAATGCGACAAGAGAATGCGGGACGGCGATCTCGTCGGCAAACTGTCCCGTCCCGTCCGCCTCTAGAATTGACAGCCAAGGAGACCGAGGAAGCTGAGGCAGTACCAGATGGCTTGGATTCGATTGGGGACATTCATAATGAACTTGAGTTTACCCAATGGTACAATGAGTTGGAAGACAGCTTGCTCGAGAGTAGCTACGATGAGTACCAGTAAGCGCCATGCCGCGAAGCCATTGGGAGGAACTTGGGATATCCTGAAGCCTGACACGTCTTGTAATTAGAGCCTGCCTTCATGAACTTCAGATGTCGAAGTCACATCTCGATACGCTACTGTCTGATACCTCATCAACCCTCGACCTCCTATCAAACCTGTCCAAAGACTTTAAAGCAGTAGAATCGCAGACGTCCAATTTTCAGAACCAGTGCGAAGGGCTCCTCTCTGCTCAGAAACGTGACTCAGAGCTAGCTACAGATATCCAAGATAACCTCCAATACTATGACTTCCTGGATCCCGCTTCAAGGAAACTTAACGCTCCGGGAGCTGGTAATACGGTTCGCGGTCAGGACTTCTCCGACATGTTAAGGCGACTCGACGAATGCTTGGACTATATGGAAATACATGTCAGTGCCTTATGGGCGTGTTTGATTGGTGAAGTGGCTAATATGTCTCTTACAGGCCGATCAAAAAGAAGCCGGTGTATATCGTTCCAGGTATAGACTTCTGATGACACGTGCCCTCACGCTCATTCGTGGACACTTTGTTTCTGCACTGCGCGACGTATATTTGAATGTCTCAAAGAAGATAGCAGATAAACAGCTCAATGATACTACTATGTCTGCTCTGCTCTATGCGAAGTTCAGAGTTGGCGCGCCTGAGTTGAAGCAGATCGGTCTGGAGATCCAAAAGAGAGCGGTTCCCCCACTGGATCCCGATCAAGGAACGGAAGCTGAATATCAAAGTCTTCTCAATGAACTCCATGCCAATTACGCAGCTATCCGTGGGAAACTGATTGTGCCACTAGTGCGCAAGAAACTCAATGAGATTGCGCAGGCCCCAAGTACGTCGACGGATCTAGTTGCTTTCGCTCGTGGTAGTATCAGCTACATCCGCGGTGTATGTCTGGACGAATTTGACCTGTGGGGTGAATGGTTTCACGGACAGGGAGGCTTATACGACTTTCTGGAAACAATATGTGAGCCTCTTTACGACCATCTTCAACCAAGAATCATACACGAAGATAAAATAATCAAACTCTGCCAACTTTGTGCTCTTCTTCAAACCCGTTACCTTTTCGACCAGGAGGAAGAGACCGAGCCCACGGACGTCAACCAACTTGACTTCTCTACACTGATTCAACCTGTGCTGGAGGACGTCCAGACTCGGCTTGTTTTCCGCGCCCAAGCCTTCCTTCGCGACGAAATTGAACGCTACAAGCCTCGCCCCGATGACCTTGATTACCCTGCGCGCAACAAACAGGTTTCCATATCAGTTACGGATGGGCAAATTTCGGGCAGGAAAGTTACGGCTGCCGATGCTCTCACAAATCTCCCCAAGCCCGCAAAACAGCCCGATGACGGCGTAGACTCTCCGTCAGAACAAGACTCAAAGTGGGACTTCGAGTCGCAGGTCTCGCCCAGCAACTGGTACCCTACATTACGGAAAGCCATCTGGCTTTTGAGCAGGATCTACCGCCTTGTAAATGTACGGAGACCCCAACCCACCTTGTCAATTAGACATCCTGTGTATGCTGACAATCTGTTCATAGTCCACTGTGTTTGATGATTTAGCGCATCAAATCGTCCACCAAACCAACCTCTCTCTCCACTACGCAAGCTCCCTGATCGCCAGCAAATCCGTCACAGACAGCCAACTGTTTCTCATGAGCCACTTGCTCATCCTAAAACAACAGATCGTCGCCTTCGACATCGAATACGTTGCCCCTGAAGTCTCATTCGACTTCTCAGGCGTCACAAACACATTCTGGGAACTAAGAGAAAGAGGCGGTCTCTTCAACCCCCGTAACCTGATGCGCCTCGTCGGCCACGGCCTCCTGCCCCGAGTCGTAGAGAACATGCTAGACGCAAAGGTGGAGCTGGACGGACGTCTGAGAACAGTGATCAACGATTTCATCAGCGGAATCGCCACCACAATGACGGCCTCCCTCCCGGCCAAGTTCGTCGATACCCGGAACCTGCAGCGCGGAGAACTTATCTATCCCACATGTCGAAACATCGAGAAAGAAGTCCCGAATCTCCGGACGATCCTCAACGACTACCTCGACGATGTCCGTATGAAGGAAACATTAGTGGGTGCCGTTCAGGAACGCGTTATCCAGATTTACGAAGAATTCTTCGACAAGTACATGTCATCGGAGAAGAGCAAGGGGCACTTCGTGAGTACCAAGGGCAAGGGCCGCGAGGATGCCGTATGGGATGTGGACACCTTTGCAGAGTGGTGTGAGAGTATCTTCCGAGTTGGTATCTCCGATGCAAACGATGAAGCTACGAGCAGGAGCAGGAGCGGCAGCCTTGAGTCTAGGAGTCAGTAGCTGGCTTATCTTTTTGGATAGATATCAAGTTGCTGAATGTATATACAACAACCTCTATACGGGAGAGTTATCCTCTTAATACCATGTCCATATTGTCACAATGTCTAAACCTACTGTACGTTTGTTAAAGAGAAA